TTTTTGTAAGTTCCCTTTATCACATTTAGGAAGTTCTTTTCTATTCCTAGTTAATTGAGGGTTTTTGTTTACTTGCTTGTTTTTTAATTAGGAAGGGGTGTTGAATTTTGTTAAATAATTTTCTGCACCTAGTGAACTCATGTAGTTTGCATACTTTAATGAAGTGATGTATTACATTAATTTTAAAATGTTAAACCAATCTGTCTTTACTGTGTTCTTTAATTTTCATTTATTTGTAAATTTCCAATTTTCTTTCTGTTATTAATTCTTAATTACATCCTATTGTGATTAGAGAACATACTTGGTATGATTTCTATCCTTTTAAATATACTGATGTTTGTTTTATGGCCAAGTGTATGGTCTATCAACAGAATCTTTTATGTGCTCTTCAGAAGAATGTGTATTTTGCAGTTATTGGATAGGGTGTTTGTAATGTCATTAAGTCTACTGGGTGTATAGTGTTGTTCAAGTCCTCTGTTTCTTTGTTGAACTAGCTTTTCCATTCATTATTGAAAGTGGAGTATTGAAGTCTTCAACAGTTTTTGTTGAATTGTTTATTTTCCCTTAAAACCTTTTTTTAAAAATTTTATTTTATTTCAGAGATGAGGTCTCATTATGTTGCCCAGGCTGATCTCAAACTCCTAGGCTCAAGTGATCCTCTCACTTCAGCCTCCTGAAGTGCTTAGATTATAGGAGTGAACCACTATGCCTGGCTTTTCTCCTTTAAATTCTGTCAGTACTTTATGCATTTTGTGGTTCAGTTGTTAGGAGAATATATGTTTATAATTGTTATATTTTCCTGAAGGATTTATCCTCTTAACATTACCAAATGTCCCTCTATATATCTAGCAATATTTTATTATCTTAAAGTCTATTTTTCTGATATTAGTATAGCCATTCCAGCTTTCTTGTCATTGCTGTATGAATATTTATCATTTTCCATATTTTTCTTATAATCTATTTGTATCTTTGATATATCTGTGACGTATGATCTATTTGTACTTTCGATGTATAATTTATTTGTATCTTTGATGTATATACATCTTATTTAGGCAACATATAGTTGGATCCTTAATTCAGTCTGAAAGGTCTGTCTTTTGATTACATCATTCTACTCATTTACATTTAGTGTTGTTACTGGTGTAGCTGAATGTATGTTTGCCATTTTATTTTTTGTTTCCTGCTTCATATCTTTTTGTTGCTCTATTCCTCATTTAGTGTATTTTTACATTAGGTGAACTTTTTTCTTTGCTATTTTAGAGGCAGAGTCTTATTTTCTAGTGCAGAATTTTACTTCCTTTAATAAGATTTTTCTCTCTCTCTCTTTCTTTGTAAGCTTTTTTGTGTATGGCTACTCTGCAGGTTACCATGTACATTTTATCTTATACTAACTTAATTATAGTGAGATAAAAAAGTTTTACTTTCATATAACTCTCTCTTTCCTTTTTTGTGATATTATTTCTATATTTGTTGCAAACCCTGTAATTCATTGTTATAATTGTTACTTTATATAATTGTATGCCTACTTATGGAAGCTGAGTAAAGGACAGCAAGGATGTATTTGTAAAGTTTGTTATATTAGCCTTTTTATTTATTATTTCTGGTTCTTTTCATTTTCCTGTAGATGAACTTCACCCTCTGGTGCTACTTCCTTATTCCAGTACAAATTTGTTCCCACCTACATCCTTTGTGTACTTTTTGTCAAATATATTACATTTTTGTATTTTGTAGGTCTGATAATAAGATTATACACATATTATTTTATACAATTGCTTTTAAATTAGTTAACAGATGGAATTCTAATTTATACTTTTTTGTAATTACATAAGTACTTAGACTATTGCTTCTTTTTAAAAATTCTAGTATATTTGAATTACTATCTGCAGGTATATGCTTTCATCTAGAAAATTTCCTTTATTGTTTACAAGAAGCACTATAGTGAGACTGCTAACAACAAATTCTTGTTTTGTTTGTTTGTTTAAAAATCTTAGAATGTCTTAGGATATCCGTTTTCAAAGGATAGTTTTGCTGGATATAGAATTCTTGGTTGAATGGTTGTTTTCCTTTCAATATTTTTAATATGTCATTCCAACACCCTGTGGCCTCCATGGTTTCTGATGAGAAATGAAGAGTTCTTAATCTTATTAAGAATGACTTGTATGTGATGAGTTGTTTCTGTCTTGCCAGCTTCTAGATTATCCCTTTATCTTTATCTTTTGATAGATTAAGTACAATATGTTTTAGCAAGGGCCTCTTTGTGTTTATCTTACTTAGAATGTGTTGAGCTTCTTAGATGTGTATACCAATTTTTTAAAAAATCATGTCTGACAAGTTTCTGTTATTTCTTTAAATATTCTTTCTGTCTCTTTCATTATCTCCTTTTACTTGTGGAATTCTCATTACATATATTTAGTACCTTGCTGGAGTCCCCTATTTTTCTGAGGCTCTGTTTGGTTTTCTTTATTTTTCCTTTCTATTCCTCAGACTGAATAATCTCAATTGACTCACTGTTAAGTTAACTGATTCTTCCTTCTACTTGCTCATACCTGCTACTCAGACCTTCTAGTGAATTTTTAAATTTCAGTTATTGTAATTCTCAACTACTTTTCCATAATTTAGATCTTTTTAAATGTGCTATATTTGGTGAAATGTAGCTCTCATATTTTCCTTTAGTTCTTTTTAAATTTTTTAAAATTGTAATTAGGAGTACAAGTGGTTTTGGTTACATGGATGAATTGTATAGTGAGGAAGTCTGAGATTTTAGTACACTCATCACTTGAGTATGTACATTGTGCCCAATATGTAGTTTTTCATTCCTTACCTTCCTCTCACTCTACCCCACTCTGAGTTTCCAGTGACCATTATACCACTCTTTATGCCTTTGACTACTCATAGTTTGGCTCCCACTAATAAGTGAGAACATACTGTATTTATTTTTCCATTTCAGAGTTACTTTACTTAGCATGATAACCTCCGGTTTCATCCAAGTTGTTGCCAAATCAATTGTTTCATTCTTCTTCATGATCGAGTAATATTCCATAGTATATATGTACCACATTCTCTTTATCCATTCATTGACTTATGGGCACTTAGGTTGATTTCATATCTTTGCAATGTTGAATTGTGCTACAATAAACATGTGTGCAGGTGAATTCTGATATATTGACTTCTTTTCCTTTGGGTAGATACCCAGTAATGGAATTGCCAGAACAAATGGTAGGTCTACTTTTACTAAATAGTTCTTTCAGAAATCTCTATACTGTTTTCAGTAGAGGTTGTACTAATTTATCATCCCACCAGCAGTGCATAAGCATTCCCTTCTTACCACATCCATGCCAACATCTATTGTTTTTGACTTCTTAATAATGGCCATTCTGGCTGGGGTATGGTGATATCTCATTGTGGTGTTAATTTACATTTCACTGACAATTAGTGATATTGAGGATTTTTTCATGTTTATGGCCATTTGCACATATTCTTTTGAGAAATGTCTATTCACATCACTTGCTCACTTTTAAATGAGATTCTTTGCTTTTTTCTTGCTGATCTGCTTGTGTTCCTTGTAGATTCTGGATATTAGTGTTTTGTCAGATGCATAATTTGCAAATGATATTTCCTCCCATTCTACAGGTAGTAAATATCATCTGTTTACTCTGATGATTATTTCTTTTTCTGTGCAGAAGTTTTTTGTTTAATTATGTCTCATTTATTTATGAATTTTTGTTGCATTTCCTTTTGGGGTTGTAGTCATAAAATCTTTGTCTACGTCAATGTATAGGAGATTCTTCCCTAGGTTTTCTTCTAGAATTTTCATGATTTCAGGGCTTAGATTTAAGTCTTTAATTCATCTTGAGTTAAGTTTTGTATATGTGAGAGACAGGGATCTGGTTTCATTCTTCTACATGTGGTTATCCAGTTCTCCCAGCACCATTTATTAAATAAGTTGTCCTTTCCCCAATTTATGTTTTTGCATGCTTTGTTAAGGATCACTTGGTTGTTAGTGTTTGCCTTCATTCCTAGGTTCTCTATTCTGTTCCATTGGTCTATGTGTTTACTTTTATGTTATTACCATGTTGTTTGGCTACTATAAACTTGTAGTATCAGTCAGGTAATGTGATGCCTCCAGATTTGCTCTTTCTGCTTAGGATTTCTTTGGCTGTTCAGGTTCTTTTGTGGTTCCATAGGAATTTTAGGATTGCTTTTCTACTTCTGTGAAAAATGATGTTGATATTTTGATAGGAATTGCATTGAATCTGTTGATTGCTTTGGACAATATAGTGAGTTTCACCCTATGGATTCTTCCAATCTATGAGCATGGGATGTATTTCTATTAGCTTGCACCATCTGATTGCTTTTAGCCATGCTTTGTAGTTCTCCTTGTAGAAATCTTTCACTTCCTTGGGTATTTTATTTTATTTTTCATAGCTGTTGTAAAAGGAATAAAGTTCTTGATTTGATTCTCAGCTTGATTGTTGTTGGTGTATGGCAGTGATACTGTCTTGTTTACATTGATTTTGTAGCCTGATACTTTACTGAATTCATTTATGAGATCTTGGAGTCTTTCAGAGGGGTCTTCTAGAGTTTTCTAGGTTAAGGTAACTAGGAAACAGAGATAGTTTGTCTTTCTCTTTTCCAGTTTGGATGCCCTTTATTTCTTCTTTTGCTTGATTGCTCTGGCTAGTACTTCTCTTTAGTTCTTTACATATGCTTTCCTTTAGCTCCTTTAGCATATTTTAAATAACGATTTGAGCATTTTTCTAGTAAGTTATATGTCTGGACTTCCTCAGGGACAGCTTTTATTAATTGCTTGCTTTTTTCCTTATGTGTGGGCCATACTTTTTAAAAATTTATTTTTATGCAGTGTGATTTTTTTGTTGTTAAAGATTGGACATTTTGCGTACTATGATATAGCAGCTCTCTATACATCAGTTTTTCTTTCTTCCCAGGTTCATATTGCTTCTTGGTGTGGTATTTGTTTGTTTAGTGACTTTTTTGAACCAATTGTGTAAAGTCTGTATATTTTTGTCATGTGTATTCACTGTAGTTTATGTTCCATAGCTTAGTGATCAGCTACTCATTGAACAGAGATATATGCCTGAAAGAAAAAAAATTCTGAGTCTTTGCAAATGGGCTGTGTGTACTGGGGGCATGTCTTCAGTCCTAATCTGGGTGATTTACAGTCCTGATTTGGCTCTCACTTCTGGCTTGGGCAGAATCTAAAGGTCAGGCATAGAATAGGTGAAAACTCAGCATATTCTCAGGGCTTTTCTGAGCTGCACCCAGCCCTAGGCATGTGGATGGACTCCTAGGCTTTTAGGATATGTTATAGCTTTTCAAAGCCTTCATTCTTCCCAAAAAATCCTATTCTTTAGTCTTTCCTCTCAAGCTTTTGGTGAGTTTATTTTTCACCCCAATGACTACCCATTGCCCCAGGGTGCAGCAACAAATATGTTTGGCTCTAAATGTTTTCAACAGAGGTCTTATGGTTGGCTGCTTCAGACCTGGGAGAAAGTCCAGTAAGTTGAGACAAAGACAACTCCTTTGAGCCAGTCCTCCAGGGCACTCCTAGACAGGCTGAGCAACCAAACACAGTTCTTTGTGAATGAGATCTGTTCTGCTTCCTCTGGTACTAGTACCTATGCTGGGACCATACACTTTTTTCTTTGGGGCTTATTGCCAAGCTGAGGAGCAGGATATGGGACCAGGGGAAATTAAAAGACCACAAATCTTGCCATTCTTACCGAGGTTCTGGTGTTTTTTTCTTGGTTGAACACTTTGCGCTGCTTGTTATAGGCGCTTGGTTTGTTTCCAGAGATCTAAAAAGTTGCTTCTGACAGTTTTTATCAGCCTTTTCATTGCCTTTTTGGAGCAATGGGCTTTGGAGTTTCCTATGCTGCCATTTTCTCTGACATCCCATAACCAAATTTTGATTGCATTAATTTCTATATTTTATATATTCCCCTACTTTATGGATATCAGCTATTCTCTTTATTATTCTCTTTCTTCTATCATTTTGGATTTGATTTAATTTTCTTTTTTTACATTCTTCAGATAAAATTTTAGATCTTTGACTTTTCAACCTTTCTTCTTTTCTAATAAATGTGTTTAAGATTAGAAATTCCCCTTTCAGTAGTATTTCTGGAGCCTTGGTTTATTGTATCATTCATTATCTATTAACTAATAAAGTTTTAGGGCTAAAAAGGGAGAACTAGTAAAAATATTAGATTAATTCTAAATAACACAAGAAAGGAGAAACAAGAAATATAAAAAATCTGAGTCAAGTTCAAAGTACATGGTAAAATAGCAGATATAAACCAGCCTTATCAGTCATTACAGAATATGTAAATGGACCCAATTCTTCAAGTATGTAAAGGTTAAGATAGCCCGACTGGAAAAGGAACTAAGAAAGAGCTACTCCATTGCCAGCATCAGCCAAAGGACCGGTGATGCAGTTGAGGAAGGAGACCCACAATGCTCTTCAGTCTTCTGCATGGCATCTCAAAAGAGAAGCTAGAAGTCAGCCAGAAGGGAGACTGGTTGGCACCTCCGGCCAGGGTAAAAATAAGACCCCTACTGCTTCCCACAATCTCTTCTATAGATTGCAGGCATGGTATGGAGGAATCTTTCTGGAAGGCATTGTTTTTACCCAAACAAGATCAAATCCCCACCTAAGCCATATACCCCATGCCTACTCCATGAGACAAGATCCTTTCACATGTGATTTCTAAAACTGTAAACCCAAGATCCTTTCACATATAATTTCTAAAGCTGTAAACACAAGACCCTTTCATGTGTAATATCTAGAGTTGTAAGATTATATAAAGGCAGGGCTTCTCTTTGTCAGGCAAGTTTGGCTATTAGGCAGCTATGCCGCCTTGCTCCTGGCTAAAATAAATCACCCCTTCCTTCCTAGTTCGATGTCTGAGAGGTCTGTTTCTCATGGCCATTCCTGCTTTATAGTTACACTAACATTATACAGAATAGGCTGTAAGGCAACAATCATCAGTAGAACCGGGGACATTCCATAAATGGGCTAACTGACCAGAAGGACATTAGTAAATATGTATGTACCCCCAAAAAACAAAAGACATAAATCAGCAATCGCCAGAACTAAAACAAAGAAAAGCAATACGTAACCAATGTGGAAGACTTTAACAAACTCCATAACTAATAAAACAAGAAGATAATAAAAATAAGAAGTATACAGATCTGGACAGGACACCTAATAAAAGACCTAATGAATATACAGAAAACATTGCATCCAATAGCAGCAGAGTGCTCGTTCTGTCTTTCAAGCATATAGAATCATTTACCCAGATTGACTGTACATTGGACCATAAAAAAGTCTCAACAAATGTCACAGGATTAGAGTTATTCAGAGTAGGTTCTCTGACCACAGTGGAATTAAGCTAGAAATCAGTAGGAAATCCCTTACTGTTAGGAAATTAAACAATTCACCTCTAAATAATCCATGTGCCAAGAGGAAGTCACACTTGAAACTATAATGTATTTTGAACTGAATAATAAAATATGCCACAAATGGACCTCTCTAGCATCCAGCAACCAGGGCTTAACCCTTGCCCAGAAGTTGGTCTTTAGGGGTCTGCTCCAGCATGAAGGTCATGTCTGCTGTTTCAAGTTTGCCCTTTGCCACATGTTAACGATTTAGATAACACCCTCTAGCCCACCACCTTGTTAGAGCCATGACTTCACATCTTCTACACAACCAGCATACTACTCTTAGCCCAGTGTGGATGCAATAAGCTTCTTCTGGCAAGAGCAACCTATTATTAACCATTTCTGGTTATCCTTGGCAGTGGTGTCTTTGCAAAGTGGAAAATATTCTTTAATTCCAAGCAAGGATAAAAGTGTTCAAAGGTTTATAAGGCTTTAGTCACCCAAAGAACCAATTCATATGACTATTTATCTTTTTCTGCCCTTGTAAATCATCACCTCGGAGGTATCCCGATACTCTTGATTTCCAACGGACAAGCTTCTTGCAAATGAACAATTTCAATTGCTATATCCATAGTGCTACTCAACATACCCTCAAGCAGCATACTTAACATGAAAGGCTGTTTAATTGCCAGTAAATAGTAGAATAATCTTTTGAAACAATGTAACAAACATAATTGAAATAATCTTAATGTGTTTCATGTGGTAATAACCACTTATGTAAGATTAACACCATAGAAAGAAAAGACAAGGAGGCAGGTGGGCTTTGCAGTAAATCCTTCTGTTGTTTCCCCAGCTGGTCACTTTTGTTTCCTTTGTAAGTTTTTCAGCTAAATGAAATAAGGAACTATCATCTTATAAATAGTCAGTGAAAGTGAATAATTGGTAGTGTAGTTATTATCTTAGCATGTTGAATTAAATGTGTGAAATGAGAATTCAAAAGCTACAGCATAAGACAGCACTTAAGAGGAAGGCGCTTTGCACAGGAACTTCTTTAAGAAGAAAACTAAAGATTCATTCATTCATTCATCAACAATTCAATGTACCATTAAATCAGTGGTGATGCCTGAAGTTAATGGTTTTATCTGACTCTACCCCAAAGTCATGTGAACCTAGAATTTGTATCTAAGGTAACACTACAATGAAGAAAATAACTGAATAATCTAAAGCACCTGCTCTCTTACATTCTCTCTCGTGTCTCTTTTGATGACTCTGTGAGACAGGTAATCTCCATTCCATTTTAAGGACAAAGAAGCCCACACTCAGAGACGTGAATTGGCCACATTACTAGTTAACATTTGGTGGGAATTCCCATTGTGCTGCTGAGCCCCAGGGCCTTATTCTTTCCCTACACCACAAAGTGCAGCAAGCACAGACCCCACAGGTTTAAGGTGGATCAGAAGGAAGGGAATGTTTGGATTATATCAGGGTCTGCTTTAATCGGGCATCATGAAGTGACAGACATGGAGACAACTGCCTTTGAAAGTGCAGTTTACACTTCACAGTTCCCAAGAGGGAGGCCAAATCATGCAGGGGCCATACGGGGAACACCAGGCTGGTGAGAAGGCAGAAGGAGCCAGCAGGTAGCAAGGCTCAGAGACTTCACTGTGATTCCCACAGGAAAGAATGGGTGAGGCAGGGTGGGAAACTTTAGGATTCCAGTACTGAGCTTATAGGGGTGGTCTCTAACTGTCTGATACCTGGCCGACATTGTTTAGCTGTGTCCCCACCCAAATCTCATCTTGAATTGCAGCTCCCATAATTCCCATGTGTCATGGGAGGGACCCGGTGGGAGATAACTGAATCGTGGGAGTGCTTTTCCCCATACCGTTCTCGTGGTAGTGAAGGAGTCTTACGAGATCTGATGGTTTTATAAGGGGTTTCTCCTTTTGCTTGAGTCTCATTCTCTCTTGCTGCCACCACGTCCCTTTGCTCTTCTTTCATCTTCCACCATGATCGTGAGGCCTCCGCAACCATGCGAAACTGTGAGTCCATTAAACCTCTTTCCCTTCTAAATTACCCAGTCTTGGATATGTCTTCATTAGCAATGTGACAGCAGACTCATACACTGACCCTGGGGTAATTTAGAGCAGGGGAAGTGTTGGCCTGGTGCATGGAAATTACATAAAGAAGGGGTTGGCAATGTGGGATTTGGAGGGGTGGTTTACATAGGAAAGGAACACTCACAGGTCAGTTATTTATTGTCTCTAGGAATTTGCCCTGGGAAGGGCAGTCCCTCCAGGATTAGCAAAGATCTAAGGAGGTCAAAGCAACACAAAACACAGAAAATTTAAAAAACATAGATGATAGAGAGAAACCTATAATTTCTATTTAGATGGTAGGGAAACCAGGGCTTTTCATCTAAAGCTCTTTTGCAGAAGCAACAACAGAGGGCCTGGGGATGGAGCACAAACCCTGCCGTGCTTCTGCTCCAGCTGTGGGCACTCCGGCGTGTGGAGGGCATCCTGCATGTGCATCTGCATGGCAGACAGCAGGTGTGCTCCAGACACCTTGAAGGAAGAATCAGTGACTATCTTTGGTGGGGTTTCCCAGACCC